AATCGATTGATTTTCGTTCGATCGTAGACATATGATCGAACAACCTTGTACATAACTTACTCGATGTATGTATATGTATTGTATTGTATAATATGTATAATAATTCTAATAATTACGGGATATCTCTCGATGCCTAATATAGCAATCGACGGCATCGTTCATCTACGTAATATCACAGACAAATCTTAAATTAAGTTTACCACAAACGCGATGGGTATAATGCGACGATAAATAAACTATATCTATCGCTTGTATTTCTTCTTCTTTCTTTCTTTTTTTTTTTTCTTTTTTTTTCTTTTTTACAATTTTTCTGACAGCTTCATCCTTACGAAAAATTTTGCGCCATATTATTCTCTCTCTCTCTCTCTCTCTCTCTCTTTTATCTCTCTCTCTCTCTCTCTTTTTATCTATCTATCTCTTATTATCACTGTTCGATAGATCATTAAGCTTCGAAATTATTCGACTCACGTATCTCGTTAGAATGAGACACGACAATGACAAAAGTCCCGAAAGAATATGTCGTCGAAACTTTAAATGGTATTGGTGTGTCCTAACTGCACGAACGATAACGTGCAACGAATTAGAAATAATCGAAGAGAGTTCACATTTAGTATAGAGATGAAACTTCTCTCACGTGCTCTTAAGATCACACGATTTGCAACGATATAGATATATGTATGCATGTATGTATGTATGTATATATTATATACGTAAGTACATATTCTCGTGCCAATTTTGAATAGGATCGAGAATCGAAAAAGACGAGTCACGATTACAAAGCTGATTTGTCGAAGAGAAGAGAGATTACTTTTTTTGCCTTGAAATCCCTTCCATAAGCTTATACATCTCTCTCTCTCTCTCTCTTTCTCTCTCTCTCTCTCTCTCTGTCTCTCTCTGTCTCTCTCTGTCTCTCTCTTTCTCTCTCTCTCTCTCTGTCTGTCTGTCTTTTGCCTTTGATCCTATCACATGAAAGGACAAGAAGATGCTCTCCTTTCACAAGACAGAATGGAGAACGGCTTCACCATGCGGTTGCCAGGTCGAACTTAACGGTTGTTTGTTCTTTTTATTGAGAAAAGATGAGAGAATGAGAGAGAAAAATATAGACAGACATATAGATAGCTAGATAGATATATAGATAGAGAGAGATAGAAAGAGAACTTATAAAATGTAAGAGTTGGAAAAATTAGCAAAGAAAATCTTGCCATCTTCGTTTCTTTCTTTCTTTCTTTCTTTCTTTCTTCCTTCCATCCATTTCACTTGTTTTTCTTCTTTGAATGGTAGGTAAGCTGCGATTGGCTGCAGCAGGTTGGGATCGATGATGCTGCTGGTCGGTCCGTAGGAAAGAGTGCCAACATGGCCTCGGCGTTCCCTCGAGAGAGGTGAAAACTGCGCGCACGCGTTTCTGTTCGTATCTCTCTAGTCAGAGAGGGAGAGAGAGAGAGAGAGAGAAAGAGAAAGAGAGAGGGAGAGAGAGAGGGAAAAGAGAGAGATAAAAGGACGAAATGATCGATCCTACTTATGGTTTATCCTTCGATCTCTCAACGCGATCTCTCTCTCTCTCTCTCTCTCTCTCCCTTTCTCTTTCCCTTCTCTTCACATTTTTTCTCTTGTTTCTTTCTTCGGAACGTCCTTGAATATTACTCAAGGGAAGAGTACACGATGGTTCTCTTTTCCCTTGTTTTTCAACGATTCCTGGAACCCGGAAGAGCTTGAATGAATTCTCGGGGAGTGGCAAACACCTTTCTTCTCCTCTCCTCTCCTCTCCTCTCCTCTCCTCTCCTCTTCTCTTCTCTTCTCTTCTCTTCTCCTCTTCTCCATTCTCCTCTTTCCTTCTCTCTGCTCCTTTTTTCATATATCATGGTCCTCCCTTATCTCATTCTCGTTTAAGCCAGGATAGCAAGTAGACAGTTATGCGTGCGAATACGCATCACATACGTACACGCTCACACATACGCACACACAGAAAAAGAGAAAGAGAGAGAGAGAGAGAGAGAAAGAGAGAGAGAGACGGTGGTCGATCGGCGGCTGTCTTTCGGCCATGCGTCCTCTAAGGAGAGAAGCGGAGGCCATCCCTCTTTTACTTAATTCGAGTCTACGACTCGATCAGGAGATGACACGATCGTTTATACGTTAAATCGTTTAGGATCGGATCTTTTTCTCTCGTCAATTAGATTTCTTCTTCCTCGACTATGGGCAGGCTACTTTGATGTACCAAAGGACTCGTTCTCGCTGTAAACGCCATTATCCAATAATCCAATTCTTTTTTGTTCTCCATTAGAAAGGTCAACGCTATGGGTGAGTCAAAACCCTTTTGGCGTACGAGAAAACCTTCCTCGCCGTATCTCTCGATCGTTGTATTTCTCAAATTAAGTACACCCAATGGTCGACAGACCTTTTTTTGCGGATAAATTACGGCAAAATGTTCGACGCTCGTACGATAGACCTTCACCTGCACGCCCTGCCGATGACCGTTCGGACCAACCAAGGTCATATAACCGCTCATGTTCTCCGTATTCCAACAGGAATCAACGTTCGATTCCTTCAAGCTCGATTGGTTGAACTGAAGGAAGTTGGTGTGCATAGCTACGTCGGCCGGCATCTTGATTCCTAAATTTTCTTCTTTTTTCACTAATTTCTTCCTATCGTTGTCCTCTACGAAATTTTCCTCTTCCTCTTCGATCGCCTCGAGCGAAAAACTATCGGCTAGTACCATACGTACTACGATATATTTATATTATATATAAATAGATGGTTATGCGTGTGTGCGAATATATATTTTTATATATATATATATATATATATATATTTAAAAAAAAAAGAAATTGCGTATAGATATGCAATTTGTTAATTTGCGCTTATTTTTTTCCTTTATGTCGGCGAACAAACCACCTTCTGTTAATGCGCGCAAGCAACTACCCGCGAAAACTTTCGGCACCGATATTTATACGGTGCATCGAACTACGTTGCGCATGCGCATCTCGCGGGACATTGCCGTGTCGCGCTCTGACGATGTTTAGACGAAAGATTCGCGCGCAGTGCATTGACGCGTTTCATTTCGAACGTGCTTAAATAACAAGCATGTTTTCATTTTCTTTTTCTTTTTTTTTCTTTTTTTCTAACGCCCCCTTTTGTTTTCTTCGTCTAATTTTCGTTTATTTATCATAATTCTTCCATCTAATCGTTTCGAAATAAAGGAAATAACAACTTTGTTTTGTTGTTCCTCTATCTGTTTTCTTTCTCCCCTTTTTTTTTTTTTTTTTTTTTTAACAAAATAATTTCATTTCTTTTTTATTTTCGTTTAATGATTCGATTTGGAAAAAACAAAGGAAATTCGTAGAGGACACGAAGTTTGTTAAAGAAATGAAAGAAAATTTTTTCGTTGACTTGAAAACAAAAAAAAAAAGGAAAAAAGAAAAGGGAGAAAAGAAAAAAGGAAAAGAAAAAAATATACAAAATGAATAAAAAAGAAGAAAAAAAGAGAAATGTTTTTACAAGTGAATTAAAAAGAAGAACGAGATGGAAAAATATAATAATGCAGCAGTGGAAGAAACTTTTGAAGAGGACACAGCTGACGGTCAATAAATACCGATGAATCTACCGTGGCCGACTATTTGGCAAGAAGGACATGGTGCGTGCTCTGTGATTCACCCTAAACCTCGCCTGATGGCTCGCTAAATTCGAGTAGTACGTGGCAAAAAGGAAATTAGAGGGAGACGAAACTCGGCCGTCGGCCAAATTCGTGATTCTAGGAAAGCTTCTAGCGGTGACAAACGATGGAAAAAGGCACGAGAGAACGCTATGTCACAGTAGTGTAAGATTTAACGAATTGCTAGAAATGAGTACAATGAACTCGATAAAACGTTTTTCCCTTTTTTCTTTTTTTTTTTTTTCGTCTAACCAAAACGACTCCAATAACGTATGAATTAATATAGTTAAAAAATTTTGAACGATTCTATGAGTTAGTATTGCACTTTGGATGGCTTTGTCAATTTTCTCTATTTGTTTTTTTTTTTCTCTCTGATCATAAATATTTTTCTTTGACCTTGTATAACTTTGATAAAAGAATAATAAAATATGACTTGTTTATTCGATGCTTCATTGTTTATCGTTTTCAAAAGAGATAACCAATGTCCGGTTGAGTTTTCCCAGAGGGGAGAAATTCACACGATAAATACATATACATTTACATATGTATATGTATATATATATATATAGGACATTTCTACATTACAAAACAATACGAGTTTTCACTAATACGATAAACAAATACATAAACTAAAAATGAATGATCTTGTTTCTTTCGAAGGAATCGATTATCATGAACGTGTATGTTTATTTAAAAGACAATAATTATGCCAGCGCTACACAATTTTTATCAGAGATTAACAAGCATTTTATTCGGAGGAATATTTGTCTCTTTTTTTTTCTTTAGATCCTTGTTCTTTCTTATTATGTGTATATATATATATATATATATATATATATATATATATACTTTTTGTTTTTCTTTTTATTATTATTATTATTATTATTATTTTTACAGGATCGTACGCTACTACGAGAATTATATTTCTTTTTTTTTTTTTCAGTTCTACGTTTGTCTCGATGCAATTATTAATCGCTAAATTAACAGAAGTTTTCTTTGATTCCTTCTTTGCTTAGAGAGATATTATAATGAAGTTATACATATTCTCCAAAATCATTTTTATCTCTACTTATACTCTATGCGTGTATATATATATATATATATATATATATATACATATACATATACATATACATATAATCATTTATTCGCTATGTAAGCACTTAAAAAGATTTTACATTCATTATAATTTTGTTAAGCAACAAAAAAGAAAAAGAAAAAAGAAAAATCTTTTAAAATTACAAAAAAAAAAAATTAATAAAAAAAAAGAAAAAAAAAAAAAAAAAAAATAAGAACGATATTTTTAACAGTCTTTTACGTGACGATACGATAATTTCGTTCCTTATACAATTTCGTTAAATCAAAAATCACGATACACAGAGAAGTGTAGTTTTTTTTTTATTCGTCGATTAACGCGGAACTGTCTCGACGGTACACATTTTTGTTGTTTTTTCTTGTTTTTTGTTTTGTTTGTTTTTTTTTGTCGTTTTTTTTTTCTTTTTTTTTTCTTTTTTTTTCTTTTTTTTTTTTTTAATAACATTGTACAGTGAACTATAACAGTAATGATGTTAATAATAATAGATCAAATTTTTATCCTTTCGCGTGAGGAACGTCGAACATTAATTATTATATAAATCTAAGTATAAGCTAAAAAAAAATTATATAATACTTATTAAGTATATGTCTGATAATAAAATAATCGGAGAGGCAAATATATTGTTCGATAACAACAGACATTTGAGATTGATCGACAAAATTTTTAGCTTAATAGCATAATGTTTTATTTTTTTCTTTGTGCGCCTCTGTTATTACTGGAGCTTTTCAGTACTTGATCGAACTTGTCGTGTTTTCCCAGACCTACAAGAGAGATGAAGAAATTTTTTTTTTTTCATATTAATAAAATGACTTATCGATATAATTATATATTTATATACGTATATATATATATTTATTTGCTTTAAGTAACACATGTTACGTTACTTGACCGATAAAGATATACGTATACAAAAGAGAGAAAAAAAAAGAAATCTATTAATTCTTACGTTTTAATTTTGCCACTCGAGAACGCGTTACACGTGCCGTACCAGAGGTATTGTTATTAATGGAAGAAACCAAAGTTTCCGATGATCTCTTTTTTAAACGTACAACTTCTTCCATCGCCGGAGTCATCCATTTTGCTTTAAAGTCAATGCTATTTCGAGAAAATGCGTATGCGTTTAATACCATTACAAATTAATATCTAAATTAAATCGTATATCAATAAAAATGCATAGATACTTACTCTACTAATCGTGATCTATGTTTATATGCTCCTGATTGTCTCTCTTTCATCCTACGAATAACATCTAACATCGCATAAGTTGGTAGTGATGGAATTGGCGATGGTGGCGGGGATGGTGGTGGTGTCAATGGAGTTGGCGGCGTTTGTACACTAATTTTTGCTAGTCTGTCTGGATGAAATGCCAATACTTCCTCCCAACAGAATTTTTTTGGTTGACTTTTCAATTGTGTATTTCTTGTTATTCGAATCTGAAATATATTTATAATATCGTGCGATTAATATATATTATATTATATACTTTACTTTGTCTAATACCTATATAAGTTGAAAAAACAGCAATAGTTGGAAAAACGGCTAACAAGAAATATAAATATTAGTAAATTTAATAGTATGATGCTTTATAAAATAATTTATAACTCTTAAATTACCTCGCCATTTACGGGTCTGCATGGCTTTCGTTCTCGTAAATAAGGTCGCCTAATTGACGTGGCACAAGTGTTCTCATTGGACTCATGGATGTTGAAGAGGCATGTAGGAACTTTACTTTCTTGATTGGTGCCAGGTTGAAATAGACTTCTTAGATAAGAATAATTTGGTTTGCTTTCAAAGTCTAATTCTGTGATATATTTCATATATTCCACGAGAGCAGCTATGTAAAAAAAAAAAAAAAAAAAAAAAAAAAACATATACATACATATATTTACATAACAAAATATTTGTAAGGAGATGTATCAATTATTATATTATCAATGGAATAAAGTAAAGATTATTTACATGGATAATTCTTTCTGTTTGGAAAACATTTTTCCATAAGTAAGGGTAAATTTGATAATAAAGCTTCCTTTTCAGCATGAACTTCTTCCGGATCTATTGCTTCGGATAAATCGTTACTATCTTTTTCCCATGGTAATTTACCACACATCCATTGTAATAAGTTATACCCTAATGTTTCAAGATCTCCTCTTCTCGAGTGTGCTGAAAAAAAAAATATATATAAAATTAATTCCACGTTATAAATTATAAAATATAATTGATGGATAGATATATGCTTACTTCCATGATGTGCATCACGAGATGTAAATTCCAAGGTTCCCTCGTGTGCTCTTCTTTCATCATGAACAAATGGTTTATGATTACCTGCTGTTGTTCTAAAGCGATAAGCCAATCCATAATCTACCAAGTAAGCTTGAGATCTTTCTCTTACTACACTTTCTTCGTAAGGGGCTAATAAAATATTTGGGCCTTTAATATCTGCATGAGCATAACCGTGACTGTGAATGTACTCTAATGCATCTAGCTGTAAAATTAAATTAAATAAAACAAGAGAGAAAATGAGAGAGAGAGAAAGAGAGAGAGAGAGAGAAAAGAGATTTAGCTTCTTTTTTTTTGTCATGTTAATAATAAGTATAAAATATAAATGTATTATCTCACCATTTGTACAGCTAAATTATTAACAAGCCTAGTTGGTAATTTTCTGTTATTTGATATAAACAGTTTACCAATATCTATACCGTATCTTGGTATAACTAAAAATCTGTAACGTTGTCCTTGATAAATATGAGACCCAGATCCCTCATAAGTTGGAACACCTATTCTTCTTTTTCTTTGTGTTTTACACCAACTTTCAACTATAATAAATATTTCCAAGTAAAATATTAGAGTTTTCATTTGAGGATAATTTCATATGCATAATGTATCTATATCAGTCACTTACTCATATGTTTTCTAGATACTCGAATGTAAAAGTTCATCTCAACGAACAAAGGTCCATTATTATGTGGTTCAATTTTAATAACATATTGTGCATCATCACCTACTGGAGATGTGATATCTTTGGAAGCTATAGATATATGTTTATTTTATTAATTAGTTAAGATCTTGAATTTATTTTTAATTTGACACTTTTTATAAATCTCTTACCTAAATATATATCACCAAATCCACCATATCCAATGCTATTGCCAAGTCTCCATTTATTCTGAGTAATATCTGTAAGAATCTCATTTGCTGGTAATTTTGCTGGCAACTTACAACCTGGTGCTGCTATTCTTTTAACAGGAACTTCTTCTCGTCCTGGTGCCATTCTTACTGGTTGATCGCAGACAGAACATAATATTTTATTATTAAATTAATGCTTTATATAAAGCTTAATATTTAAAAATACAGTTGTATGTAGATGCTACTGTAATTACAAAAAGACTAACATCACATTAAAGAAATATATATATATATATATATATATATACATGTATACATATTACTTATATATTTATGAAATACAAAAATATAAAGTAGTGTAAATATAAACAATTAAACATTTGTTTAATATTGAAGCTCTATAATCATTATATCAATAAATTATTGATAGAAAATATATCTATATATTATTAATTAATACAATCAAATTCATATTATAAATTCGATTACACTTACATTGTTTACTTTTTTTCAATTATATATTTTGTATTGAGAACATAAACTAATGTCACTGTGAATTACGTTTATCTATTTAATAAAAAAATTGACATACAAGGGCAAATTATATCCTAATATCATATGCAGCACAAAAATTATTATAATAATCAATATTATAATATTTAATGTGTTAATAGTTAAATATAAATGAACGTAATATTGAAATGGAAAGTTAGAGTGAGATATTCACTCTGATTGTTTGATAATAAATGACAAATAAATAATTTCTCTTTTATCTTGCCAATGATATTAAGTTAAATATCATTTATAAAAATTATAAGAGATATTTTCCAGTTAAAATAATTATTACTGAACAATGAATAATTATACACTTTGTTTTCTTTCAACTGTAACGGTTTTGCGTGAAAAGTACGCCATTCAACTTTATAATGCATTGCACTGCCATTTCATGAACCAAAGTAGAAAGTATTAAATAGAGAGGAATGCAGGAATATGATTGTTAGAATACTAACAGCGCCATCTTGGGAAAATTAATTTACGTTGTATCACATTAAAGAATACTATCATTAACAAATATTTACTTTTTTTTTCTCTAATGTCTTAACGATATGATATAAAATAATATTATTAATAGTTCAAATAATGATTATATGACGAGAATAAAATTGAAATTTTTATGATCACATGATGACATTATATGAAGACAGTAACCAATCAGAATCAACCAATCAGAATCAACCAATCAAAATCAATCGAATCTATAATATTTTTTAATAACGAGCTCGTAATTTTTTTACGAAATCTAATTAATAATTCATTAAGATTTTTCTATTTGGAATGTGTTAAGTTATAATTAAATCGTGTTAATTAAGTTTTATGCAACGGTAATCGTTTGTGAAAAATTGAAATATTTACGATGAATGAAGTTGGATGAAAATTAGAAAATTTCAAGCGCGTAAGTGAAGCTTCGTTAAATATTATTATTAATTATTATGTTTTGAGAGAAGAAAATGTTTTTTTTTTTTTTTTTTTTTATATTAATATCCGTTAATATATGAGAAAATTCCCTACAGTTATGTTAGCTATTCTGATTCTGAAGCAACTTTCACAATGGTAGAATATGAAGCTTTAATGGAGGAAGTGTACGACGTGATTGTTCTGTGTGACCGTTGAAATTTAATTTGCGCAATAATATTTTTCCTTTTGTTTTATCGATATATTTACTAATATGACGCGAACTTGTGCAAAACAATGATAGACATTATTTTTATGTTAAAAAGTTTCTTGTGTAAGTACGAAGAAAAATTAATGTCTCTGTGTGTTTCCGCGCTTCGCCACTTTAATGGTTAGGATCTGAAGGCATCCATTATTCTTCTTTGATCTGGCATCAAAACGCGATCGGTAGTGAAAATATAACTTTGTCAAATTTTCGTTTGTTCTCGTCTTTAATGAGAATGTTTTAATCGATTTATCATTAAATTTTTCCATTTCCTCGTTCATTTTCCATTGTTACTAACACATTATGTACATTGATATATGATTATAAGAGGACACAAAAGTTTTTACATATTAAAAATGTGTTGAACAAATTTTTTTAATCTTTTCAGGTATTTATTAATATTTGCAAATGCAAAACTATCGTATAATCAATTTTTTTGTTACTACTATAAATATGTATATTGTATGATGATTATAGATTTTTTTTCCCTCTCCAAGCACATCGTGTATGCATACTCTGTATTTACAATTTGTTACGTTTAATATTCCATATTAATTCTTTTGCAGCAAAAGCACTGCCATAATTTAAGTTAAAGTACACTATGTCTTATCCTGGACAACCACCCATGGGGATACCAGGCATGCCTCCCATGCCATATATGGTTGGTGCTCCACCACCAATTATTGGGGGTGTAATGTCTATGGCTCATGTAAGTATATACATTTAATTAATTTTCATTTATTGTATTTATGCATGATTGTTTTTATCAGTGTTAGTTACATATTTTCATGCCATATTCTCTTGAAACTTTACTTTTTGATGTTGTTATTACTATAACGTAGAATTTCATTGCTTTCTGTATCATTCTGTTATATATTCTCTTTGATATTTATGCTATATCTTTTGTAACAAATAAATATCTTATTGCTTACAATATCATCATTTTATTAATATAATAGGATTGATTAATTTTTCCTATACTTATTTTCTGTCTAATCAAACTATTTATATGAGTAATAATGACAATAGAGATAGATAGATAATTAATATTATAAATTTCTTATGTATATGAAAAATGATGCATTTTCTATAGTGAACATATAATTTTGGGTTATAATACAAATAACAGAGATATATTTACCTTAGCATGCATATATTTAAATTAGATGTTATCTTTATTTTATCTTAGTTAGGTAGAGCTTAGGTTAATCCATAATCACTAATGAGTTTGCTTATGAAACTTTCTATATGTTGCAATAATAATATATTTATCAAAAATAAAACTCTCTCTCTCTGTCTCTTTCACTTTCTCTTTTTATGGAGTATCTATTGAGAACTATCTAATAATAAAATATATATATATATACTAAAAGTATTATAAAAATATTGTTCAAATGAAATATTTAGCATGTGAATGTCTCTTAAATTAATTTTCATTTGCACGAGCAAAACAATGTAGGAACAATTTTTAGTACCTGATGTTCAAGTGTACAGCAAGAGATAGAACGCAAACTAATGCACAATTAATGGGAGGGGACATTATGCAGTGCATGAGTAGAAATGTGCATTATTAAGAAAGCTACCATTTATAAAACATAGATGATTCCAACACCCGTATCTGCGATGCAGACCTCAGCACCAGCCGTACGTTATGCACGCAATCAAAATCGGCACGATAACAATCGCCGTCGTGAGAGAGAATCTGGACCACCAGTAACAGTCTTTATTGGCAATATAATGGACAGAGCACCCGATGTAATGATACGACATATTTTGGGAGCATGTGGCCATGTTCTTTCATGGAAAAGGGTACAAGCTTTTGGATTTTGTGAATATGCCGGTCCAGATGCAGGATTAAGAGCAGTAAGATTGTTACATGATATGGAAATAGGGACAAAGAAACTTGTTGTTAAAGTGGATGCTAAAGCTAAAGTTGTACTGGATCAATTTAAAGGTATTTTAAAACAATGTGTTTATTATTGATGTACGTATATTGTATTATTAATAAATAATTGAATATATAAACAATTAATTATTTAAATTTTAATGTTTTTACATTATGATTATATTGATTTTTAGCAGAGAGACGGAAGAAACTTAGAGGAGGTCAGTCACCTTTACAAGATGAAACGTCAACTGAAGGTACAGAGGGAGAGGAAGGCGAAGATTACATGGACGAAGGAATGAGAGTGGTAGATGCAGATGCATTAGCACGTATTAATCAAATTATTACTGAACATGCAGCAGATTTAGAAATGGCCCAAGTTGCGCCAGGTATATTAATTAATAATTTATTAATTTTAATTAAATACGGTAGAATATCTATTATAAATGTTTGCTTTATCATTAATAGAAGAACATCAAACCAAAATGGTCGCCAAGTCTTTAAATTTGGATGATGCAGAAATTGAAGAGAGTAAAAGAGACTTGATAACTCGAGAAATTGGCAAATTCCGGGAAGTAATGAAGGTAATTATTTTGATATATGTAATATGACATTTCTCTTGATTTAATTCCTATTTCTTTGCTCCTGTTTTTGAATATATCAAATATGAAGGCGCTATGAAATACGGCATGTTGATTGGGGTACAGAATAACTGAAAGAATTTTAAAGCACACAATTTATTATTATTTATGCATAATTCTCATCTGTGAAGCTTAAAAAAATTTAATATTACAAATGTTTTTTCTTTTTTCTTTTTTTATCTTTTTTTCTTCTTTCTCTCTTTCTCTCTCTCTTTTTTTTCTTTCCTTTTAACTGATAAGGATATATGTGTTTCTAGTATTAAATTACAACATTTCTGATTTTTTTATTTGAATCGACTTTATTTTTTTTTTTTGGTTTAAATTATGGAGTTAATTATATAAAATTTTATCCATTTATTTTTGAAAATAATCAGTAAAAATATTGAGAATTCCTTGAATGATTAGTTGCTATATCTTGTTTGAATCTTGTATGAATTTTTAAAAAGAAGGATAACTGTATCAAACATCATTTCTTTCCATACATATAAAATATAAATCTAGTCTAAATGTAAATTTTTTAATTGTTCCATGAGTTTGTTTGATTAATTTAATTTAATGTAATTTGCTCACATGTATATGAGAGCAACATACATGCTTATAATTGAGTAATTTAAAGAAATTGGAGTAATTTAGTAATTACATTTTATTTAATGCAATGAGAATCCATTTAAATATTTTCTTTACGATAAATTGAACAAACTTACAATCCTAATACTCTGTATAAAGAGATTCTGTATGCCCGATTACGTTTATATTTCATACCAGTTGATGATGAAATTAAAGCTCACAGCATATGCATAAATTTATATATGTATATATATATATATTATATATATATTATATATTTTATATATTTATATATATATAATGCATTTGGATATACAAGATGGACAATAAGTATTTAGAAATAAAGTATAGTTTTTAAGTACTTTGTGGTAAAAAGCGCGTGTGTGCTATCTTAGCTCTAAATAATTGGAGCCGTGACTCGTTGCTATAATTATAATAACAGGCAGCGTGCGTCGCACACAGCAAACGCACACGCCTAGGAATGCTGTGTGTGGGGACCACCCTTTCACTCACTCATTGGCTCTGAAGGGAGTCAATCACAGCACAACCCTCGTATTTTCGCAGGCAGCTGCAGCCTCGTCGGTAAGTCAGAGTATATCCAACCAACAAAACATGAAAACAAGAAAAATGAGTAAAATTCAGGCAGGAGAATTTTAAATCTCCTCGACACGCTGACATCACATAATTGATATGTGTTTTGTTTCCATCAAGAAAAAATCATATTGATTCCTCATAAATAGTTTTCTACTATTTTGTAGTCATTACATTTAGAATGTATGGAAACCTGCACTTCTCATTTGACAAAAATATCATTTTATCTAACTTCTTTCTATTTATATATAGATACATCAGGCTGTGATACTAATAATATTGTTCATACGATTACGGGCATGTCTAATAGGGAGTTAGTTATCTTAGGGAATTATTAGATATTCAATATCATTAGTATAGTAAATTTGTAATTATTTCTTACTCCATAATATTATTGTCTCTCTATCCATTTAATATGAACATACATACATTCTAGATGATATCAAAGTTGAGGAGTGGAGATGAGATCATTCAAGGAAAACTGATATACATGGCAGTAGATCAATATTTTGAGATTTTTTCTTGTATTAGAATA